ATATATTATCAGCCTTGGAAACTTTTCAGGAACCTTTTGAGTAGTTGGGTGGTAGGAAGCGGGGGAGGGAGAGCAATTGAGGACCAGGAAATCCATGCTGATCTTAAGGTTTAGAGTTTGCCTGTTTCCACGAGCATCAAGTAGAAACTAAGGAAGAAGAAAGATGAAATAGAGAGTTGTCAAGAAGACAGAGTAAGAATTGAAATGCAAGTAAATAGTAAGCAACTGGCTACACAGTGCAGGTAGTACAGAGAGAGAGATCATTTATCTGTGGAGTAGGTACAAGCGTCTGTGATTTTCTTTCTTGGGGAAAAATTGCCACTTTTCTGGGGAACAAATGGGATTTGATTCCAATCCATTCTATGAAAACAGGGCTTTGCTCTTTGGAACTGAATGCGAAAACATGAACAGTGAACGCGGAATAACGTTAAGGCTCCTTTGGCAACTGCTCGGGGCACCAGGAGATACTTCTTTCTACCTAAGGTGTGTCGGTTTTCAAAGGCTGCCAATTTTTTGTGAAAAACTCGCAGTCCACGTTGTCCTGGAAGTAATTTACCAAAATCACAAGCAGTGCTGATCTTGTTTCTTAAGGTAATGACCCCTTTCTAGTTAAAGAAATGAACCCTCTGGGATCACAAGTCAAACTCAGGCATGAGAAGGGAGGGCAAGTCACCAGGAGAGATTTCCCCCTGAGGCTGACTCCTTGTACCCACTACTGGATTCGGAACTTCATGTCCGTTTCTGAATTCGTTGTCAGGGTTCCAGAAACGCTGTTAAGAGATGCAGTGGGGATGAAAGGGAAATGGATAAAAGACGTTAAAGTGTTCTGGATGAAGGGGACGACTTCAAAGAAGATTTCCTAGTGGGACTTGCACCCTCCCCTGAGCCCTCAGAGGCCTCCAGCCAGCGTGGGCATGTAATGCAGCTTTCCAAGGACAGTGAAGACATTGGCGGGGCAGGGGAGGCACCTGCTGGCCTGGCCTGGGGGACACTCGTGGGCTGGCCGCTTACCACTCTCCGCTCTCTGCCTTCGGCCAGCACAATCTTTTCGGCCTGCAGCTGCTCTCGGATGGTTTTCTGCAGCAGCGGGGCATTTGCTCCTCTAACCAATGCCACCAGCTCCCCTCCCTAGAATACAGCACAGATGTCCTGCTCAGACCACACGATGCGCAACCTCCTTCAAGAGACACGAGGTTCCAAGAGCTTTGTTTACAAGCGTGCCCAAGGTCAAGGTCTGCGGACCCCAGGCCCACAGCCTCCATCCACTTCTCTGCCCCCTACCCCAGGCTCCTCCCTTCAAAACTTCCTTCAGGACAGCGGGGAGTTAGGTGGGGGAGGACCAGGGCGCACTGGGTTGTGAGTGACTAAGTGTGGCCTCTCCTTGACTCCTTCACCCAACGAGTACCAGCTGAGCACTTACTATGCCAACACCAAGACAGAGGCAGAGAACAGAAACACTAAACATGAAAAGACATAGCTGCCACCCTCAGTGAGTGGGGTGCCAAGTGGGGAGAGAGTGGTCGTGTCAGAGAAACAGTTGCAATAGAATAAGAACATTGCTTTCATGGGGTACTTGGGATTTGGGGCAATAATTGATCCCCAGCTCCATCTGGGGTGGTCAGGGAAGACCTCACAGTGGAGGTGGTGTTCCCGGTGAACCCGCGTTCACCGCCTTCGCTTTTTCAGAAGTCTCCCTGCCCGTCACTCATGGAAGCTCACGTGCACTGGGTTCTCCTTCTGTTTCCATCCCACCCTCAGGGGATGGCCGCTGTGTGACTGTGATGGGCTGCCGCACACTCCCACACGGCCAATTATGATTCATGCTTCAATCCCGCCCACTCCAGGCTCAAGCAAGAAACCCACTGCAGTAAGGATCCCATTTCTGCAACTGAGCTCTGATGCCAGTCTGGCGGAGGGCACTTTCATCTCAGCGCTTCCCACCCCTGCTCCCTCCCCCACCAGGTTTCTTCGTAAAACCTCAGTCTCCCTCGAGAAAGCCGAAGCTCAAATAATGTTTCACCATAAGCTTCCAACTTGTAATACTTGCAGTGCCGAGGGCAGGAGCCCAAAGTTTTCCAAACTAAACAACTCTGGCCCCGGTTGGCAGATCCCAGTTTCCCTGACTGTGCTGTGAGGGGCTGGACCGGGTCAGGAGGAGAATATCAATCCACTGTCTTCAGGGCCTGGCAGGTGACCTAAAACCAGGAAGCCAGGTGTGAGACAGCAGGGGGGCCCTCAGGGGCCTGGAGCCCCGGGTGGATGTCAGAAGGCAGCCAGATGACCTTTCAAATGCTGAACCACTGGCCATCAACAATCACCCCTCTCATTTCTGACTTTGTATCAACATATCTTCACATTTTCCAATGAAACGAAGGTGAATACAAAGCTTGTCTACCCCACGAGGGAGCGTTCATGTTTGCTGAAAAGTCCCCTCTGCGGAGGTCTCCAAACTCTGCACTGAGAGTGAGACCTCAGTCAAGAGGTTCACTAGGGACTTCTCTGGTGGCACAATGGTTAAGAATCCACTTGCCAATGCAGGGGACACAGGTTCGATCCCTAGTCCCGGGAAGATCCCACATGCCACGGAGCAGCTAAGCCTGTGCGCCACAACTACTGAGCCCACGTACCACGACTACGGAGCCCATGCGCCACAACTACTGAGCCCACGTGCCACAACTACTGAAGCCCGAGTGCCTAGAGCCCGTGCTCCACAACAAGAGAAGCCACTGCAGTGAGAAGCCCGCACAGCGCAATGAAGAGTATTCCCCGCTCACCGCAACTAGAGAAAGCCTGTGCGCAGCAACAAAGACCCAACGCAGCCAAAAACAAACAAACAAATAAAATAAGAGGTTCACAAACCAGAAAGAGCACAGGCCTCTGAGTGAGTCCTGCTCTGTCCCGGGTACTGCCCTCATGAAGGCCCCAAGCCCAGAATGACTGCCCAGAGCTCCACCCATGAGCAGTGCCATGATTAAGGGCATCTGTCCTCAGCCAAAATAATAGAGTCAGGGAGGAAACAGCATTCACTCACTGGGAGCAGTGTGGCCTCTTGGTGAGAGGCGTCCATCTGAACCCTTGTGATGTGCAGCCGTGGGACAGTTCTGGACTGAAAATGTACTTACTGCATAAAACAGAAAGGTCGGCTCGCACCTCCCTCTGTATTTTTCGAGGACATCAAGACAGTCCGCCTCTGCCTAAAGGAAACAGGCTGTCAGCAGGGCGGGTGCAGGGACAGGATGGCGGGAGAACCGTGTGGGACACACACACCACACCCCCCATACAGAGCACATACACATCCATATTGCATGCACACCACACACACACACACACACACCAAACGCACATACTCCTCATCCCCCACATACCACACACCGCATACATACCACACACACGTATACATACCACACACATATACATAACATATACATACCACACACATACATACCACACGCACATACATACCACACACATACTACCAGCACACACATCCTGCTACACATGCACGCGCATACGTTACGCATAATATACACACATCACACACACATATCACATCCTCCCACACACCACATACACACATACACCACACACGTGCACACACGTACATCACACAGTGACTGCCCTCCCCAACTGGAGCCCTGGCTTGCTCTCTCTCATGCTCCTTCTTCTAATGCCTTTCATCAGAATCTTAACAACTGTCAACATACTGGTAAAAAGTGTTGCCAGTGTCATTTTCTGAGGCATAAAATAAGGAGGATGTGACAGTTTGTCCTGCTCCGGATCAGGGGAGCTCCACCACTAACATCCCACATCTGCCCCGAGTGGCAACAACAGAGGAAGGTCCTCAGCTCGCCTCCGGGTCTGATAAAGCTCCCCAGCCAGATCCCTCCTCCACTCCACAGAAGCCTCACAACCCACTCCCATGGGAGGAGTGCAAGCCCTGGGAGCCCAGCTTCTCAAGAGTTAACGCAAGGGCGAGTCTCGCCTGTGTTCACCATCTCTGAGCCTCAACCCGTGCAGCTCCTCCAGTGTCTCTTGCATGCTTCTCTGGAAGTGATTCCCATTTCCATACACTGACCTGAGTAAACGTTTGCTGAAAGTTCCCCTTTAAGGAGCAAGGATAGAAATCTTAAACCCTGTGCTCTGGAAGTGAAACTTCAGGGTTCACGGTGGACACGAGCCAAGAGGGAGTGTTGGCCTTAAAGTGGCCGCACGCCTTCCCGGCTCCGGCATCAGGGGCAGCTGAGCCCACAGGGACCGTCGAGAGGCAGGGTGGGGGGGAGGCTTCCTCTCTAGAGAAACTGGTATCAGCAAAAAAAATCCACAACGGATGCCTTGTCGATGATCTGAAAAAGGCCCCTCAAACTTACTGTTCCTGTTTTAAAATTTTTAAGGTTTTTACAAGTTGTGTGACATTGTGCTGAGAGAGGACCTTACTAATGCAAAATGCAGAAGGTCCAGGCCGACCTCGATCCTCATCTTCTGGAAGAGGCTCACCACAGGCTTGCAGGGGCCGCACCAGCCTTGGTAGACGTCGACAACTGCGTGGACCAAGAAGCAGGAGCGCTCAGCAGGCACCAACGCCCCGCACGTCAGGCAAAATCGATACCTGCACATTCCAACCCCCTCCGATGGACATCTGTTTGCAGGGATATTTATTTCGTGGTTAAAGGGATTTATTATCCCAGCAGAGTATGAGCGAGTGTGGCAACACAGCTTTCCTTCATGAACTCAGTGTTCCTAATTCTAAACACAGTGAAGTGAGTATGGTGGAAAATCACTTACTTAACACGGATCCTTTGCCTTAAGGGACTTTCAGCTACATTCAGGGTCAGGCCTAGCACAGAGAAGCCCTCAGTACGTATTTGAAATAGACTGAAACTATCTCTTCTAAAAGGAAGAGGTCACTGTAGGTGACCTATCAGGATGCAACCAACTCTCAGCTACTTTGGTAATAAACATAGCATTAACCTTTCTTCCTGATGCATTGGAAGCCACTTGCTTTGGGTAAAGGAGAGTTTTATCTTTAAAACTTTACTTTATCAAATCAACATTATTCTCCTGGAAAGTGAACCTGAGAGAGACCTAGGTGGAGACTGGGGCGCGTTTTTCTGCTTTGGTCCCAGTCTCTGGAGTGTGGTGGGACTGCGTGTGAGGGACCCTCCTGTCTGATTGCACTAGACCCCGAGGCCTGTAAGAAGCTAAGCAGCGAAGCCATGTGCACCGGATACGCACCAGACCTGCCCAGCCCAGTCAGTCGCAGCAAGTAAGTGCTAGATGGTGATGGACCGGTGGTCACATTTTAAGGAAGGATGTCTTCCTAAAGACCTCAGCACTCAGTGCTCATGTCTGATCCACACAGGGGGTGTTTCTGTTCTGCAGTTAGAGTGCATCCTCATGGGGTCAGAGTGTGGACCCTGCTTATAAACTACCAGCCCTGCCAGCTTTTTTACTTTTTTTACTTTTTGAAGATTCACATTTCAAAATTTTCACATCACATGAGAACTGTTAATAAACCATGATATAAATTACCTTTTTTTTTTTTTTTTTTTGGCCATGTCACATGGCTCGCGGGATCTTAGTTCCCCAATAAGAAATTGAACCCAGGTCCTCAGCAGTGAAAGATCAGAGTCCTAACCACTGTACCACCAGGGAATTCCCTAAATTATCATTATTAAAATTAGCATAGACTCTGGTAGCACTGTCTTAACGCTGTACTGTAGGACTCAGGGGAGGAGGCTTCGCAGTGGAGAGGCGACTTGCATTGGGCATTGTGGAAATGCCAGGCTTGGACGGGCAGACAGGGAGGCCATGGTGGGAAGCATGGTGGGGGAGTCCAGGGGCCGCTGCGGTTGGGTTGATCAGTGGTGGCAGAGATCACTGGAGGAGTCGGGAATGTGGGTTTGAGGAGTTCCATCCTGATTTACTAGGCAACGAGGGTTCACCGTAAGTTTTAGAAAGGAGAGAGAGTTAATATTTACTGAGCTATGAGAGAGCATCTGCACTTTGCTTTTCTCTCAAAAAATCCAGCAAGATAGGTATCATTATCCTACCATATAAATGAGGAATGAAATAACCAACCCAAGGTAAAAAAATAAATAAATAAAAAGTCTCAAGCAGTAGACCCGAGTTTTGGACCGAGGTTTGTCTGATGCCACAGCCCGTGCTCTTTCAATGACTCCAGGAAAGAAGATGCATGAATTCAACAGTATGGGTTAGTTCCGCCAAGCAACATAGTTTTGCAGAGAAAGTGAGAGCCAGGCTGGCTTTAAGAGGGACGAGGAAGCCAGACACGGGTGGCTGTGTTGAGGGAGGGGAGAAACGAAGGAATCCCTGAGACTTTGAAAATGTAGTGGAAAGACTGGGGGTGGCAGTCCTGTGGGTGTGAGAAGGACCACCTTTGAGCCCGGCAGAGAGAAAGCACTGGGTGGAGGCAGGGAGAGAGCATCTGGGGAGGGAGGAGAGTGAACTAGATTCCAGACACATTGCATTTCCAGTACCGACCCGAGAGTCTAGGGCAAATAGCCCCAAAGTCAGCCAGACACCAACAGAGGCCAGAGAGAAGGATCTGGTTCTCCTCAACATCCAGGCGGAGGATAGAGCTTCTTGGAGGCTCCTTTGAGGACAACAGCTTCACAGTTGAGGGATTTGGAGATTTCAATAGACCACAGGAATGAGAGAGAAAGGCATTTGGGCGACTCCAGGAAAAAATCCTTGAAGAATTAGAGGACCCTGTATCCAGGCCCACCAAGGAGAACAGGTTCAAGCCCCAGCAGGAAAAGATTGGGACCTAATTAGCTGCCAATCTCTATGCAGGGTTTGCATTGCTAGGTCAGCCTAGTCATTTGTATCAGCTTCCCATCTCCTCTCGCACTCCCTGGCTCTACGAGGAGTGGTGGTGACAAAGGCACACTTCCCACGGTTGTGGGAGACAGGTGGCTGCGGACGGGAGAGGAAGTTATGAAGAGATTGACTCTGAAAGGCAGGAAGCAGAAAGAGAAGCAAGGAAAGGAATGGCAGAGAAAATGAAAAGCGGGGTGTGTGTGTAAATCTGAATAGACTTTCGCATGTTTGAAGGCAGATGGAAGTGAGCCAGCAGAAGACCAGAGTTCCAAGACGGTGGCTGACCTTGGAAGCAAATCTCTGCTGGTTCTAGAAAGAGGGAGGAGCCTGAGTTCCTGGCGACTGCTTGATGAAGAGGGGCACACGAGCCCCCGCTGCCTTAGGTCCACACAGTTCCCTCGTGTCGTGCTTCGAGCAGGACTCGACAAAGTCCACGCTCAATAGATTAGGGTGCCTGGAACGTGGCACGTCCTCCAAAAATGAGGAGCTGGTGGCTTTCTTACTGTTGTTAAAGAAATAGAAGTCATGGTGGTTTTGCCCTGGAGCCATGTTCCAGTTGCACGCAAGGCACATGGACAACATAGTTAAGACCTGGCACCATCAACAAAGCCTTGTAATCCCTCAAGTAGTAGAGTGTGGCCAGACTCACACCCACATCCTGGATCAATGGAAGCACATTTATTAAGAACCCACTCGGCCCGGGCCTGGACACGTCTGCTTCTGATGGAAATGAAAAAGACAATGGCCCTGTGCTAGAGTCTGGGGGAAGGCATGGAATGCCTGCCTTCACAGGGGCCAGACCAGGTTGGGTGTGTGCTGGGGGTTGAGACAGAGACACCAGGCAGAAGTGACCGCACAGAGGTTCAGGAAAGATTTCATGCAAAGAGGCTGCTTTAGAACTGCCTGGGGATGAGAAAGGTTTCTACAGGTTGTAGAGGGGTCATGATATTTCAGGTAGTAGGAACAACGTGGATACAAGTGAAGAAGTGGGGAAACTTGTGGCATGTTCGGGAAACAGGTTGGAGCCGAGGACAAACCTCAGGGGACAGTGGGTGAAGGGGCTGGAGGGATGGGGGAGGGGGGCTTGAGTGCTGAAGTCATGGGTGCAGGGGCGGCGATGGAGAGAGATGAGAGCAGATACCAGCTGACCGAGCGTATTTATTTATAGAGAGAACTGAGCAGACACAGAAATGGAGCCCAGAGATCTCTAGAGGAAAAGAAGCAGAGATAGGAAGTTGGGGAGCAGCTGTGCTGGGCAGCCTCTAAGATGCCGCCGGTGAGCCTTGCCTCCTGGGATTCAAGCCTTTGTGTAACCCTCTGCCTTTGAGTGCAGGCTCCACCCAGGGCGAACAGAACAGGGCAAAAACAATGGGATGTTACTTTTGAGATTAGGTTACAAAAAGGCTGGGACTTTCGTAACTCTCTCTCGCTCTCTCTTTTCCTCCCTCCCTGAGCCCTGTTTTGGGGGAAGAAAGAAGCTACCATGTTGTAAGTAGCCTTATGGAGAAGTTGACGGCAAGAAACTGATGTCTCTGGTAAACAGCTAGCAAGGACCTAGGTCCTGCCAATGGCCACAGGAATGGGCTTGGAAGTGACCTTCTAAGATCTGCCAAAGCCAAATGACTGACGTTGGAAGTAGATCTGACTCAGTTGAGCCTTGACATTCTCTGTGTGACTCCTTAGCGGCAGTCTTGTGAGAGACTCCAAGTCAAGGCACCCAGCTAAGCAGCCCCTGGATTCTGGATCCACAGAAACCATGGGATAATACATGTTAAGTGTTATAAGGCACTACGTTTGGGGGTAAATTGTTGCTCAGCAATAGATAATTGATACAAGGATGACAGCGACAAGGAGGCCCAGTGACAGTGGCTTTGCTGTTTCCTAATGACTGTGCAGCCCCTGGTTCCACTTGCTTGGGTTGCCTGTCTCTCCTTCCAGCACTTGAGTTCTGAGAGATCCCGTATTCCTTTCAGTACCTTCCCCTTTTGTGCCTCAGGTAATTAGAAGAGGTTTCCGTAGCTTAACACCGAACAAGCCCTGAGCATGGCTAACCATAATCTAAAAGAAGGGAACCCTGCTATCCGGCAGTACTGACTAGTTTCCTGAACTGAACTCACAGATGTTCAAGTCAGATATGTATTTAAACACAAAGAAATTACCTGGTTCTTTATTTATGAAACTCGAGGTTATAGGAAAATGATGCTCTTTGCAGTTTTCTCTTCATGGTTCAATATGTCATTTGGCAATTTTGAAAAGGATGGGTCTAAAAAATTATCTTAAATTACCAGTTAGTCCTTTGGAACTGAGCATTTCCTCCCAAAGTTCCTGGGTACTGATGTTGACCTAGCATCAAAGAGAAACAAACGCTGTATTACTGAGGGTGACGATGGGGAGACAATTTTATGTATTCATTTGCTCCAGGTATCTACCTATTGTTCTCTCTCGCTCTTGTTCTCTCTCTCAATGAAATACTTACAAATACAGCTCAGCTGTCATCTTTCCCCAATCCTCTCTTCTCTTTTCTCTCTCCTCCTGCCTCCACCCCCAAGAATAACCACTATCCTAAGAAAATCTCATTTAAAAATTTTTTTAACTTGTTACTTGTCCAAAAACACTATATAAAATTGTTTCGTGTCCCTAAATATGCATAAATGGTATCATACTGAATATACCTTTTTTCAATTTGTGTTTTTACTCAACATTAATTTTTTTTAATTAATTTATTTTTATTTTTGGCTGCATTGGGTCCTCGCCGCTGCACGCGGGCCCCCTCCAGCCGCGGCGCGTGGGCTTCTCACTGC